TTTGAAAAGCTCCCCCTCAATTTATGAATAATTTTTGAACAGCTCCCCCTCAACTTATGCATTTGAAAAAAATGATGCATGAAAAATAAAAGGAAAACATGCGATGGAAAAAAAATGATGCATGAGAGAGAGAAAAGAAAACGTGATGCAAAGATGATTAAAATGCAAAACATGAAAGCACACGCACACACACAGTTCAGATGTTACTCAGTCGTTCAGGTTCAGCATCCCCAACTTAGAGATCAGAAAGTTGAATCTCTTTTCATCCAGGGCCTTTGTGAATATGTCAGCCAGTTGCAATTCCGTGGATACAAAGTACATGTCCACGGTGCCTTTCTCAACGTGATCCTTGATGAAATGATATCTGAGGTCAATATGCTTCGTCCGGGAATGATGGACCGGATTGCACGTGATGGCTATTGCACTTTGAGAGTCACTGTAGATCGGGATGTGTGAGAATGTGAACCCGTAGTCTTTCAGCTGGGTCTTCATCCATAATATCTGTGAGCAACAGCTAGCAGCCGCGACATATTCTGCCTCAGCTGTAGAAGTGGACACACAATTCTGCTTTTTGGAGGACCAGCACACCAACTTATCACCAAGAAATTGAGCACCGCCAGATGTACTCTTTCTGTCCAGTTTGCAACCCGCGAAATCAGCATCTGAGTATCCAACTAGGTCAAAGCCTGATTCCTTAGGATACCAAAGGCCCAGATTGACTGTTCCTTTGAGATATCGCAGTATTCTTTTAACAGCATTCAGATGTGATTCCTTCGGATTTGCTTGAAAGCGGGCGCATAGGCAGGTTGCAAAGACAATGTCTGGTCTGCTAGATGTAAGGTACAGCAAGGAACCGATGATAGCCCTATAGTTGGTAGCATCGACTGGTTTCCCGGAAGAGTCAGAGTCGAGCTTCTGTGAGGGAGACATTGGGGTTTTCATCGTCGACTTGCTGTCCATTTTGAAGCGCTTTAGCATATCGTGGATGTACTTGGACTGATTTATGAATATTCCGTCTGGCATTTGTTTGATCTGCAGCCCCAGAAAGAAGTTCAACTCTCCCATCATACTCATCTCGAATTTGGTGCGCATCAGATTGCTGAACTTTTTACAGAAGTTTGGATTTGACGAGGCAAAGATGATGTCGTCCACATAAATTTGTATCAGCATGATGTCACCCTTGTGTCTTTTGATGAAGAGAGTTGGATCTATCTTTCCCTTCGAGAAGCCTGATTCCACAAGAAAATCTGATAGAGCTTCGTACCAGGCTCTCGGTGCTTGTTTCAAACCATACAAGGCTTTCCTCAGCTTGTATACATGATTTGGACGTTCAGGATCAACAAAGCCGTCAGGTTGTGCAACGTAGACTTCTTCTTTCAAATCTCCATTCAGAAATGCCGTCTTTACATCCATTTGATACACTGTGAAGCTCTTGTGTGCAGCATAGGCGAGGAATAGTCTTATCGCTTCAATTCTTGCCACTGGTGCAAAGGTTTCATCGTAGTCGATTCCTTCTTGTTGATTGTAACCTTTTGCAACCAGGCGGGCCTTGTTTCTCACGATCACACCGTCTTCATCTTTCTTATTCTTGAATACCCATTTGGTGCCGATAATGGTTTTCTTGTAAGGTCTTGGTACCAGGGTCCACACTTTCAATCTTTCAAACTGGTTCATTTCTTCCTGCATAGCAATCACCCAGTCCGGATCAGCCAATGCGTCAGTCATCTTTGTTGGTTCTTTCTGACTCAGAAAACATGAGTATAAGCATTCATTGACTGATGCCGTTCTGGTTCTGACTCCTTGAGATGGATCTCCAATTATCAGCTCTGGTGGATGTGCTCTTGTCCACTTTCTCTCATGTTGTAGAGGCTGTGGAGTTATGATTGGATGATCAGGGTCAGAATATTCTTGCTCTGGTTGTGCTTCTGGGGTTTCTTGCGTTGCAGCTTCCTCAGTTTGATCATTAACAGGAGTGTTTGGTTCTTGTTCAGCTTCATTTTCTGTGTGTTCATCATCATTCTGAGTAGGAGTGTTGGTTTCTTCAGTGGTTGGAGCAGGTAACAGGGGGTTCTGAGTAGGTGTAGCATTTGTAGTTGGTGGTGCACGTGGTTGACTGTAGAAGTGCTCAAATAGAGAATCCAGAACCACGTGCTCATCAGGTCTTGTCTCACCTCCCTGCCCTCCTACTCCAGAAGATGATGGAGCTTCATTGTTTGCAGAGGTTGATGGTTCAGAATGAAAATGTTCAGAAGCCAAGTCCGCCATTTCATAGAAGCTCACATTGATGCTCTCCATGACGGTTCTTCTGTCTTTCAAGTAAACTCTGTATGCCTTGGAATTGGTAGAATATCCAATGAATATCCCTTCATTTGCTTTTGGATCAAGCTTCCCCCTAGCATCCCTGTCGTTCATAATGTAGCATTTGCAGCCGAAGACGCGGAAGAAGGCAATGTTAGGGAGCCGCTTGAACACGATCTCATAAGGCGTCTTGTCAAATCTCTTGTGGATCACCGTCCTGTTTTGTGTGAAGCAAGCCGTGTTGATAGCTTCCGCCCACATGAAGTGAGGAAGCTTTGACTGTATTAGCATGGTTCTGGCTGCTTCCACCAAGGTTCTGTTCCGTCGTTCTACAACACCGTTCTGCTGTGGTGTCTTAGCTGCAGAGAACTGTTGAGTAATTCCCTGAGCTTCATAGAATTCGGTCAGTTCATTGTTCTTGAACTCCGTCCCGTTATCAGTTCTGATGATCTTCACATTCTGCTGTAGATAGTTCTGTATGGTCCTGATGAACGTCATGATTAAGTTTGCAGTTTCGTCCTTGAGCGCAAAAACTTGGTCCATGTGTAGCGTGAGTAGTCATCCACAATTACCAAAGTATATTTGCGTCCACTGATGCTATGCACGCGCATCGGACCACACAAATCCATATGTAATAGCTCCAGGGGACGAGATGAGGAGGGAAATTGTTTTGACTTGTGTGATGCTCTCCTCATCTTTCCCAAATGACATGCAGAACAGTGATGGTTGGGGGAGTTCTTCAGTACAGGCAGTCCTTTCACCAACTTCTTCGAGGAGAGGGAACTGATGGCTGGCAGATTCAAGTGTGAGAGACGTCTGTGCCATAGGCTGCTTTGTTCTTCTGATGCTTTGGACAGGAGACAGATGGATATGGGGGATCGTACCGATTTCAGATCAATGGTGTAGAGATTGGTTTTCCTCTGACACCTTAATAATGGTGTCCCACCCATATCCATCACACAACATTGCCTAGCATGGAATCTCACTTCCATTCCATTGTCACAAAATTGGCCAATGCTAAGCAAGTTGTGCTTCAGTCCCTGCACATACGACACATTTCTGATAGTGACGCTCTCACAGATGACATCTCCTATCCCGAGTATGGGCGATGAAGCATTGTTCCCAAACCTCACATTTCCTCCAAACCTTTCAGAATAGTTGCTCAGTAGTTCAATCTGTCCAGTCATGTGTGACGAGCAACCCGAATCAAGATGCCACACATGACTGACCTGCAAAACAGATTAGTTTCGTTTAGGTACCCATCGCCAGATGGGTCCTTCCTTATCAACAGTGAGCAATTGTTTCAACTTCTTTTTGATTTGGGATCCTAGGCTGGCTGATTGAGAAGAATTTTTCATTTTTAATTGTTCTGCTTCAGCCTTAGGAACCCATTTTTGTTTGATTTGTTTTATTTTTGGAGCGAGGGAACTTTCATTCGTCCCAAGTGATTGTTCAGATAAATGGTCTTTCAAAATTGGTTCACTTGATAGCCTTTTCAGATGTTTGACTGAGTGAATCTTGAGAGGATACCTTAAAAATGGCAATTTGACCTCACTCTCAACATTCACCCTATCAATCTTGGGCTTATTCACAACATTATCAACAATCACAGGATCTTTTGCTTTGCAAGAAGGAACAGACTTATAACAACAACATTTCATTAATTTAACACAATCCAGAGAAACACATTTAGTACAGCGATTCGAGACAGAAATCTTAGAACTAGAAGACTTAGGAGCCACTCTCTTAGCATAACTAGTAGATGGCTCACTAATGCTAGAACTAGACTTATTCTTATCATAAAAAATGGCGCTCGACCGCTGACTCTTATTGCTTAATCTCGACTCTTCTTCTCTCTTCTTCCTTCTTATTTTGTCTTCAATCCACTCTCCTTTCCTCTCGACTCTCTTCTTCACTTCTTTCCCTGTCGGAGAATGAGACTTGGGGTGAGAAGTAGAAGTCTTAAAACTATCGCCTGAATTTTCAGAAGTGTTTTCAGAAGTAGAAGGGGAAGAGGGTTGAGAAGCTGTGTTAGACTGAGAGGCGGTTTTCAAAGAAGATATTTCTTTTAAAAGGTCATCCTTTTCTTTTTCTAAAACCTGCTTTTCTTTTTCAAAAGAGTCTTTTAACTCAGCAAACTTTCTCACCAATGGTGGAATGTAAGCTGGTTTCTCAATTGGTTCAGATGTGGAAGCCTCCTCTCCGTCTTTCTCAGCTTCCTTGTCAGGGGGATAGGTCAAGATTTCTTCAGCAGGGGTCAAAGGGAGTGCTTTGGTTTTGTAGCTCTTGTTTAACTCCGTGTAGTCAAAAGGAACCTCGACACCAGCCTTTGTCTTTCTCTTTTCATCCTCAAGGGCATTCGTTTCTTCATTACCAGTGAAGGCCATGAGTTTGGTCAATCCTATTTTCATGTATCTAACATCATAGAGTTGTTTACAGTTGACCTTTTTCAGGTTCTGAGGATTGGTCAAACCCAAGCCTTCTTTGGCGTTATAGAAACGAGTGTCCTTAGGCTGGTTAAGGAAAATAGTCTGATCTGTTTGGTCCCTTTTGGCTAACAGATCCTCAAGTTCTTTGATTTTAGTATAAAGAGCACCCCTTCTTTCCATTAGCAAGTTATTTACACCAAAGAGCCTAATTCTTTCCTTTTCAGTTGTTCTAAGTTTCTCTGTTAACTCTTTCTCACTAGTACTAAGTCGCTTGTTGAGTTTAATCCAACACGATATAGTAAATATATGTATAAATGTGTATGAACAAGCCATTTTTACGTGGAAACCCGAAAGGGAGAAAACCACGGGACTTTTTAGGCTAATGTCCAAGCCCTCTCAATTCTCATTAGGCTCTCCTCACCATTACATTATACAAGCTTGAAGCTCCCATTAATGGAGTATTTGAGCTATTCTAGAGGAAGAAGGAAGAAGGAAGCTAAAAAAGAGCCTCCTCAATATGGAGGGAAGCTCCCATATTTATAGAGAATAGGGGGAGGGGATGCTCTCCACCCTAACGGGCCGCGTGGGCCGAAGCGGGCCGAAATGGCTAGAGTGGGCCGGATGGGCCGAAATGGGCCTAGCTGCTCGGGCTCCGTAGTGAGTAATGTCCTGGGCTCCTGAACAGTAATAGGCCGGGATAATATATCCCAACACAAGTCCCCCAGTTTCTTGAGTAGTGAGCTCGCGAATCTGCTCGAGAAAATATATTCTGCCTGCGCTCTTCCTCTGTCTTGCTGGAAACTGTGTCTTCACATAATCATCATATATGAGTGAGTGTCTGCACTCCTGAATGTAATCTACCAGTGAGGCACCCCCCTTCTTGACAGGGTCGGGCGAAGGGTGCTCCTCCACGGGCACACTCCCCCTGAATGCATCAGGCGGGAGTAAAGAACTCTGACTCGAGCTTTCCAATCGGAGAAGCTTAGAGGTCCATCATCTATAAACCGACGTCGCGGTACTGTCAAAACATGATGCACGTGTGTATGTATGGATGTATGAGGTATGATGCATGAATGTATGTATGCATGTAATGTATGTATGTAATGTATGAGAGAGGGAATGCAAGATGTGATAGAAGCAGTAGCTCTCATCGATAACCCGGGCATGTCAGCGCCGAGAAGCAGACGCGCTGCGTAAGACGGGTCCCCCATCCGAGATGGCATGGGCGGAGCCGAAGGTGGACTAGACATGATGCCGCCGAGGGGCCAATCATGCTGCATACGACGAGTCCCCCATCCGAGATGGCATGGGCGGAGCCGGAGGTGAACTAGGCATGATGCCGCCGAGGGGCCAATCGAGCTGTATAAGAGATGTTCGTCGCCATCCTGGAAGGGATGGGCGAGCCGAACACGAGCCAGACACGATGGTGCTGGGGCGCTGATCGTGCTGCATATGAGACGTTCGTCGCCATCCTGGAGGGGATGCATGATCCGAACGTGAAAGAGACATGATGGCGCTGAGGGGCCGATCGTGCTGCATAAGACGGTCGTCGCCATCCTGAAGGGAATGTGCGAGCCGAACCGTGAAGCCAGGTACGATGGCGCTGATGGGCCGATCGCACTGCATAAGACGTTCGTCGCCATCCTGGAAGAGATGCGCGATCCGAACGTGAAAGAGACACGATGGCGCTGAGGGGCCGATCGTGCTGCATAAGACGGTCGTCGCCATCCCGGAGGGAATGTGCGAGCCGAACCGTGAAGCCAGGTACGATGGCGCTGAGGGGCCGATCGCACTGCATAAGACGTTCGTCGCCATCCTGGAAGAGATGCGCGATCCGAACCGTGAATCAGGACACGATGGCGCTGAGGGGGCCGATCGTGATGCATAAGACGTTCGTCGCCACCCTGGAAGGGATGGACGAGCCGAACGTGAGCTGGGTACGATGGCGCTGAGGGGCCGATCGTACTGCATAAGACGGTCGTCGCCATCCTGGAGGGAAATGGGCGATCCGAACCGTGAATCAAGACACGATGGCGCTGAGGGGCCGATCGTGATGCATAAGACGTTCGTCGCCACCCCTGGAAGGGATGGACGAGCCGAACGTGAGCTGGGTACGATGGCGCTGAGGGGCCGATCGTACTGCATAAGACGGTCGTCGCCATCCTGGAGGGAAATGGGCGATCCGAACCGTGAATCAGGACACGATGGCGCTGAGGGGCCGATCGTGATGCATAAAACGGTCGTCGCCATCCTGGAGGGAAATGGGCGATCCGAACCGTGAATCAGGACACGATGGCGCTGAGGGGCCGATCGTGATGCATAAGACGTTCGTCGCCACCCTGGAAGGGATGGACGAGCCGAACGTGAGCTGGGTACGATGGCGCTGAGGGGCCGTTCGTACTGCATAAGACGGTCGTCGCCATCCTGGAGGGAAATGGGCGATCCGAACCGTGAATCAGGACACGATGGCGCTGAGGGGCCGATCGTGATGCATAAAAATAGTGATGATCATCTCATGGCCCTCGGCCTCTCGCGGCCCTCGGCCGTGCTGGTGATGTGTCAAGTCTCTCTCCTGATTGGCTGTGAGAAACCGATCGTCTGCCGGACTCCATCCGGGAAGGAATGGTGAGCCTGAAAATAAATCTGGGCAATGTCTCTCTTGTCTGAGCTGGGGAGCTAATCGTCGTTCGTCTACCGTATCCGTGGTTCTATGTACGGACCGCTAAGCGGTGTACACTCGGCACGCACAGACTCCGATAAAGAACTGGTTCTTCGTGTCTGATCCATGGAGCTGGTCTTCGTTCGTCTACCGTATCCGTGGTCCTATGTACGGACCGCTAAGCAGTGTACACTCGGCACGCACAGACTCCGGTAAAGAGCTGGTCCATCGTGTCTGATCCATGGAGCTGGTCTTCGTTCGTCTACCGTATCCGTGGTCCTATGTACGGACCGCTAAGCAGTGTACACTCGGCACGCACAGACTCCGGTAGAGAACTGGTTCTTCGTTCTTCCCAAGTCTCGTGAGTACTGGTCTCCTGGTTTCGCAGGAGACGTTCGTCATCCCAACTATGAGAAGGAACAGGTTTATCCACGTCGGGATTCCCTATTCTTCGTTCGTCCTTGTCGCGGTCCTACTAATCTTCTTACTTCGAAGAAGACGTTCGGTCAACCAACGATCGCAAGGAGGAACAGGTGTATCCACGTCGGGATTCCCTATTCTTCGTTCGTCCTTGTCGCGGTCCTACTAATCTTCTTACTTCGAAGAAGACGTTCGGTCAACCAACGATCGCAAGGAGGAACAGGTGTATCCACGTCGGGATTCCCTATTCTTCGTTCGTCCTTGTCGCGGTCCTACTAATCTTCTTACTTCGAAGAAGACGTTCGGTCAACCAACGATCGCAAGGAGGAACAGGTGTATCCACGTCGGGATTCCCTGCTTCGTCGTCCCATGCTCGTGGCCCTACTAGCCTTCTGCTTTTGCAGAAGGTGTTCATCGATCCACGGGAAATGGGAGGAACTGGTTTATCTTGCCGAGGTTCCCTTTGGTACGTCCAGCCTCCCCCACGTTCCTACTAACCTCCGCGTCGGGAGACGTTCGTCACGTGGTGAAGGAAGATCAGGCATACCTCGTCAAGACTCCCTCTCTCATAGGATCTCGTCTCCCCTTCTCCCCATCTTTTTTTTTTTTTTTTTTTTTTTTTTTCCTTCTTTTTTTTTTTTTTTTTTTTTTGAGGGAGGAAAATACGTTCGTCGGTTCCAAGAATAACCACAAGTGATGTCACACATAATGGTGGTGGGATATCAAAATGAATAGAATGACGAGGCGATGGAAATGCTGGTCGTCATGCGAAGGCGATGGTCACCCTCCTGAAGGGAGGGGTGAGCCCAATCGCTAACTCAAGAAGGTCGACATTGGGAGCCGATACACAATGATCATAATGTCGCTGAGCAGTCGGTCCTGATAATGGAGATGGCAATAGTGTCTAGTCAGGCCGATATATCCGAGCAACGGCTCTCATCCAACGCAGCGCGGGGATGAAACCGGTCTTCAAAAGATAAATATGTCGTGCCGAGAGGCCGAACATAACATGATAGTGTCGGCAGTGAGAGGCCGACCTGAAAGAATCAACAACGGTCCTCGTCCACGAGGTGGCGGGGATGAGGCCGGTCTTCAAAAGATAAGCACGCCGAGCCGAGAGGCCGGTCGTGGTATAATGATGTCGGCAATGAGAGGCCGATATGAAAGAATCAAGCAACGGTCCTCATCCGCGAAGAGCGGGGACGAGGCCGGTCTTCAAATATGATAATCACGCCGGTCCGAGAGGCCGGTCGTGATATAATGATGTCAGCGATGAGAGGCCGACCTGAAAGAAATCCAGCAACGGTCTTCGTCCGCGCAGCGCGGGGACGAGGCCGGTCTTCAAAAGATGATAATCACGCCATGCCGAGGGGCCGGTCGTGATATAATGATATCGACAATGAGAGGCCGATCTGAGAGTGAGCACACAACGGTCCTCACCCACGGGGAGCGGGGATGAGGCCGATCTTCAAATATGGAAAGCACGCCGAGCCGGGAGGCCGGTCGCGATATAATGGTGTCGGCAATGAGAGGCCGATCTGACAGAATCAAGCAACGGCCCTCATCCACGAAGGGCGGGGACGAGGCCGGTCTTCAAAAGATAAACACGCCGTGCCGAGAGGCCGGTCGTGGTATGATGATGTCGGCGATGAGATGCCGAACATGATGTGGCAGTGTCGGCAATGAGGGGCCGACCTGCAATCCAGCAACGGCTCTCATCCGCGCAGTGCGGGGACGAGGCCGGTCTTCAAAAGATAAACACGCCGTGCCGAGAGGCCGGTCGTGGTATGATGATGTCGGCGATGAGATGCCGAACATGATGTGGCAGTGTCGGCAATGAGGGGCCGACCTGCAATCCAGCAACGGCTCTCATCCGCGCAGTGCGGGGACGAGGCCGGTCTTCAAATATGGAAATCACGCCGTGCCGAGAGGCCGGTCGTGATATGGTGTTGTCGGCAATGAGAGGCCGACCTGAAAATCAGGATGGTCTCACGGCCCTCGACCGTGATGGTCTCCTCTAGGCCCTCGGCCTCTGAATGATGGATGATCGTCTCACGGTCCTCCGTCGTGGTAGTCCACTCTAGACCCTCGGCCTCTAGGTGTTCTCCCTAGGCCATCGGTCTCTGGGGTGGAGATGCCCGTCCCACGGTTCTCAACCGTGGTGGTCTCCTCTAGGCCCTCGGCCTCTAGGTGGAGATGCTCGTCTCACGGTCCTCAGCCGTGATGGTCTCCTCTTTAGCCGGCCCTGCACGTCTTCAAGATTCGGGCCGAGCGTCTTCTAATCATTTCGCTCAAGCGCGTCGAGCGGCTTCGGCTGCGCAATAAGCATGGTAACGGGCCGCGCGGCCCGATAATAAATATGCACACATAACCATCTGCATGGGTCATCGTGGCTTCCCTCTAACACCCACGATTACCGGCCTATGGGTCATCGTGACCCTCGGCCCGGCTCATCGTGCGGGGTTAATGGACGTAGCAGCTCGCGGCGGGGCCAATTAGCAGCCCGCCGAACGTCACATAGAAATATTCACCGGTCCGTGAGTTTTCAAACTCAGACCCAAGTTGGTCGCACTACCCTCGAAAAATGAGGTTGAGCACTTCGGTGCCCTCGGGCCCCACAGGCCGCGTTTGGCACAGTCACTTCGCCTAGTGGCGCAGATGGTACTAGGGTACGATCGTCGCTCGGGCACTTGGTGCCGTGCGGACCAATGCGTAACCCCCCAATTAAAATGCGTCGTCGGGGCATCGCCCTTCTGGAGACGCTCGGATCGCTTAATCAAGCTGATTGAGAGTGGGCCATCGGGCCCCACAAAAAATTAAATATTCGATAAAATATTGGCCGAACTAACTATCACTAGAGCTTCGCTCTGCATTATTTATTTCGGGACATTTTTATCCCTAACAAATAATAGTGATGTAACAGGCAATAATACCGATATTATCCTATCATTGGTCATTCAGATGCGCTCCGTTCGCTAATTAAAGCTGATCAGGAGCGGGCCGACGGGCCCACAACAACCAGTCATTAAATTTAAATGACGGTAAAAACTAATTATCACTTAGAGCATCACTCTCATTATTTAATTTCGGGAGTTTTAATCCCTAATAAATAATGGTGATAAAAATACTGGCAATATTTAATCATGCTGTATTATTCTAATACTTCAATAACTAGTAAATTGGGTTAGTGGCACTTAGCTTTTGGAGATCAAGCTTCGGCCAGCTGGGTTTGGAGATAAAGCTTGGTCAATTCTTCCATCAATTTTGACCCGGTCAACATTATTTTAAAAGTTTGCTCTTCATTATTTGGCCTCACTCCACGGACGTGGCTTGCCTCAGACCAAGGCATCGTGTGCGGAGTACATCTTTTAGGAAAAGGCAGGTGGAGCACCATCCTACCAAACCAGGTGCAGGCCGTTCGTGTCGGTCACTTCTCGCGAGTGGAGACGGCGGTCGCAGCCGAGCAAGGCGGCCCGAACAGCTTTTATCCGGCGGAAGCTCGACCGAACTACTGAACGTCCTTATTCTGAGCTCGAAAAACACCATTAATGGCAGAATCATGAAGCTCTCGACCGGCATACCCCACATGTCGCGTCGGCCGAGTCGTGGAAGCTCGAACGGCGACCGGGTGGGGGGAGTAACCAGCAGTAGGTCGGTGATGGCGACGGTGGTGTGGTGATGCTTTGGCGGCGACGATGCTCCGGCGGCGGCAGCAAAACAGAGCAAGATCCGGACAACCCAGATCTTCCAAAATCCTCGTTTTTCCTCTTCCTCCCGTTCAAATCAGTCATTTTTCCTTCTTTTTCGCTGGAATCAATCCACTCCATATGAATTTTTCGCAGAAACTCAAGAACAGTAGAACACACGAATCTTTTTGGACAGATTCCCACAGACGGCGCCAGTGTTGAGTTTAATCCAACACGATATAGTAAATATATGTATAAATGTGTATGAACAAGCCATTTTTACGTGGAAACCCGAAAGGGAGAAAACCACGGGACTTTTTAGGCTAATGTCCAAGCCCTCTCAATTCTCATTAGGCTCTCCTCACCATTACATTATACAAGCTTGAAGCTCCCATTAATGGAGTATTTGAGCTATTCTAGAGGAAGAAGGAAGAAGGAAGCTAAAAAAGAGCCTCCTCAATATGGAGGGAAGCTCCCATATTTATAGAGAATAGGGGGAGGGGATGCTCTCCACCCTAACGGGCCGCGTGGGCCGAAGCGGGCCGAAATGGCTAGAGTGGGCCGGATGGGCCGAAATGGGCCTAGCTGCTCGGGCTCCGTAGTGAGTAATGTCCTGGGCTCCTGAACAGTAATAGGCCGGGATAATATATCCCAACATCGCTTATTCTCAGTTGTGAGCTTAGTGATTGTTTTCTCTGAATTGATTATCTTAATGTTTGAGCATGTCTGTTTTTCTCGCAGTTGGTTATATACCTCATACAACCGTTTGTAATTCACCTCTAGCTCCTTAAATTTATCATGCATATCTGTTCTAGAGCAGTTAAGAATAGATGAATTAGAGGTACTTACTTCGTTGTCAGCATTTCTGTTCTCAGCAGTCAGGGCAGTTGCTGCATCAGCATTGGTTGCAGTAGGCAGGTTCTTCTTCTCCTCAGCTCTGTTCTTCTCCTTTTCATCAGCAGCAGGGGTTGACTTCATCTTTCCTTCCTTCTCAGCATCCTTCTCTTTCTCTTCTTCTTCAACCACTGCCATCAAGGCCAGATTATCTTCCTCATCAGAATCATCCATCCAGTGGTCTTTTTCAGCCATGAGAGCACTCTTTTCCTTGTTTTCTTCCATAGCCAGCAACATCTTCTTCTTGTTCAGGTACATCTTCTGCTTGTAGTACTCGGCATCTTTCTTCCTCTTAGGCATCCTGCAGTCCTTCATCAGATGTCCAGTCTTCCCACAATTGAAGCACTTTGGAGCATCCTCAGCAACAATATTCTCAGAAGAATCAAAAGATCGCTCTTTTCTTTTGCTGTTGCTGGTAGAGGACTTGCGGAGCCTGTTGTTAGAGGAGTTCTTCTTCATCTGCATATGATGGTTGAACCTCGAAGTAAGAAGGGCTATTTGCCTCTGAAAATCATGCATCTCATCATCGTCTGAATCATTCTTCATTCCTGCGTCACTGTCAGTAGTCTCACTTTCTTCAACTATCATTTTATCCTTCTTGGAGCCAGACTTCGATGGCTTGTCAAGCATCAGGGCAAGGGTGTCAGCAAGCTTGTCTACGGCTCCCTTCCCTTTGTCAGCTGTCACAGTGGCTACCACAAGATCAGAAAAATCTTCTGCATACTGGTCAAGTGTGTTGTACACTGCATGAATGTCCATCTCATCAAGGTCTTTCGTGTGCCTTATCTGTGAGCTCAGCTTCTTCCAGTCAGCTCCAAGAGAAGATAGAAATCTCACATTCAGTTCCATGTTGGATTTATGCACGCCAATCTTTCTCATCTCATTTATCAACTGCAGGAATCTGAGGTAGGTGTCTTCAAGTGATTCTCCGAGCTTGGCTTTGAATGAGTCATAAGCAGTGAATGTGCTAGCTTTCTTCGCCTTTACTCCGATCTCAGTGCCTTGCATGATCTTGAAGATCTCATCCCACATCTCTTTTGCAGTTGACATGCTGTCAATCTGCATGTAGATGTCGTTCGGGATGGCCTGCAACAGGTAGGTCTTGGCAATGAGATCTGCCCGGAGTCTTGCTGTCAATCATCATATTCGTCAACAGTCTTCGGTCTCCATTCTATCTCAACCGGTGGATTGTTCCCATTGTCTCTTTCAACAGCAATCATGAGTTGTGCAGGTCCATTGGTGATGGAATCAAGAAGACCAGATGATTGGTCCTTGCTCTCAAGAAAGTTCAGAAAACGGTTCTTCCATACATTGTACTCCCCTCTTCGTAGAATCGGGGGTCTTGTGTCGTTTCCAATTGATAATGCGTCCATGTTAAATGATCGGGCTGATCAGTTGATTGAATAGGTTCTGTTCAGTTGGTTTGGTAATTCAGGTAGAAGGTTATTGTGCAATACTGGTCAAGATTGTACAAGGTATTGAAAGATTGCTCAAGTTGTAGAAGGATCGCTCAACTTGTGAAAGATTGCTCAACTTGTGGAGGATCGCTCAACTTTTTAACAAAGATCGCTCAACTTGGCAAACAATCTCTCAACTTCTAAAAGGATCGCTCAACACTTAAAAATCTCTCAAGTTCAAAGATGGCGCAACTTTACAAATCACGCAAGGGAGTTAGCGTGAAGTTGAAATCGCGCAGGGTAGGTTGCGCGAAGCTGAAGATCGCGCAGGAGGCTTCTGAAGATGGCGCAAGTCCAGATCGCGCAGGGAGTGTTGCGCGAAGCTGAGAAATCGCGCAGGAGGGACGTTGCGCGAACCTGTTCTTCTTCCCAGCGAGTTGCGCTAAATATCAGAATCGCTCAACTTCTGCCTAACCTATACCCCAAATTTCAGATCGAGATTTTTCACAGAGATGATCCCAGCAAGCCTAGAAACACTTTCCTTCAAGCATTTTCCTGCAAAAATAACAACAAAAGTAGAACCAGAAATCGCTCAACTTCGAATCTTCAACGGTGAAGAAACGCGCAAGTGTATTTTTCCAGCTTTCAATCGATCGATCAGCTCCGTCTCTGATACCAGATGTTAGGTCCCTGTTTTCTAGTCTATAGAATGTATGTATGGAAGAGAGATCTGGGAATGAAGCTTTCCATTGAATGATGAAGAAGTTTACAGAATGATGAACAAAACTTAGCGTAAAACTTCTATCACCGATATAGGCTCTGCGGCACTAGGGTATGAGAATATCTGAAAAGCTTAACCTAGCCTTTCCCTTAAGGCATATATATAGCCTGACGGGAAAGGTAGGTTTTACAATTATTTGGGCTCCTTTTCCTAGGAGGCCCATACCTAAAAAGGTATAAAACCTTTATTACAAACTTGCCTTAAAAGGCCTATTTATTATTCTAGCTAACTATAAACTAGCAAAGTAACATTGATCACAATTACAATGAAAATATCTCTAACAAATTCTAATTGAACACGACAAAATATTTCATAATTTATAATTGTATTTTGAAAACTTTAAAAATAATACGGAGTGGTTTGAGTAATTCTTTGTAATACATATACGACGTGAAATAAAAAAGTTACAACACATTAAAATAAATGTGAAATTTTATTTTTGGGGGCCCCGATGAATTCTAATTGAACACGACAAAATTTTCATAATTTATAATTGTATTTTGAAAACTTTAAATATAATACGGAGTAGTTTGAGTAATTGTTTGTAATACATATACGACGTGAAATATTATGTGTGATAAAAAGCTATTATAAATTAAATTTAGGTGCATATATTCCAAATGTAAAACAAGTATAACAATATAAATATAATTAGGAATTATGAAAATTTTGTCATGTTTGATTAGAATTCAATAAAGTTCTATACATTATTTATGTAAAATTTTCTCAATTTCCAAATGGGTTCATAGATTGGGGTTATGTTTGGCACTTCAAAGTGTAGGTGAATGCTAATGTTGAATTAAGGATTATTGTCTGAACTGGAGACTATTGTCTAGAGCTGAGTTTTGGAACGTTGCATATGAACTATTAGTTGAATGAAGTAAATCTCTTAGGCAAAAAGAATTTAATAAAATGCTCGAATAATATGACCTGACCATATTTGATCATACACATCAGACCAATTCCGATTAGAACAGACAAATCGGACAAAATAACAATCTAATTAAAAACGTTTTAATGAAATTCTTCCTAAAATTTAGAACTCCATATATATTAGATTGATATTCAATCAATCTCCTCAAAGTATTTATGAGTATTTGGAGTTAATTAGCTTGCAAGATGTTCTCTTCGCCTGATTTGAATCATTCTGGTCTGAATCTTTCTGATCTGATCTGATTTGGCCTGAATATTTCAGAACTGATATGAATCTTTCTGATTTGATCTGAATCTTTCTGATATGGTCTGAATCATTCTGATCTGATCTGAATCATTCTGATCTGATCCGAATCTTTCTTATCTGATCTGCTTTGAATATTTCTAATCTGATTGAGTGTTTATTATTATTATTTAAATTAAAATAGAAATAATAGTAATAATAAAAATAATACTCCGTAAGAATTGAAATAAAAAATAACAATAAAACTACTACTACTACTATTAATAATAATAATAATAATAATAATAATAATAATAATAATAATAATAATAATAATAATAATAATAATAATAATAATAATAATAATAATAATAATAATAATAATAATAATAATAATAATAATAATAATAATAATAATAATAATAATAATAATAATATAAATAATATTAAATTAACTTATTATGGTGAGATTGACATATAAAATTAAATTAGCTAAAAGGTTGGATTATTAGTTTCCATTTTACTTAATAACACTTTCAATAACACTTATTTTACTTAATAATATCATATATACCTTCAGTAACTCAATCTAACTAAAAATAAATCGATCGTTGCCAATCACAATATGCCGCCTATTGTCGCCGTCGCCGGGAATGTCACAAAACTATACTCCCTCAGTCCCTCTGTCCCGCAAAATAGTTCTCAATTACCTTTTTGGGCAATCCCAGAAACTAGTTCTCATTTCCCTTTATGGAAAATTTTGTGTAGCTCACATTCATTTATTTTTTTTCTTACTCAACCACAACCATGCATGCATTTCTACTTTATTCTCACTTTCTTAAACTCCGATCCAAGTTGCGGAACTATTTTATGGGACAAGGGGATTATATTCTAAACTATTTTCTTACAGAAAGAGATCAAAATACTAATCTAATAATCTCTAAAATCCTAGAAGGGCTATCTTAAAAAATTGATTACACCCATTTTTAGATAAATAAGTTACAAAAATGTGTTGTTAGTTTTGAAAAAATAAACAGTAATCCTCGAATGAAATTTAATGGGTAAAATAGGCATTGAACATTTTCTTTTTGTTTAGGTAAAAATAGATTAATTTCAATTGGATGCAATTGAGAGTTATAAAAAAATATGATATTTTCATTGAAAAATATAGACTTGAACGTGTTTAGACAATTAATTTAAAATATGGCGTACTCTTTTTTTCCATTAATTTGACTATGCTAGACTAAAAATCAAAATAAGGCATACTCAATAACTTAAAATATGCATTTCAGACCAATGTTATAATTGACTAAGTGATTTTTAGTTAGTAAAACCAAATAGCAAAATCATTTTATCTCGTGCACGGCACAAGTAAAGATACTAGTATATATATAGTAAAAGATTAAGAACAAATTACATTAATTTTAA